ATATCAGGACTCTTTCCCTTGAATGAAGATATCAGTCTTATTAAGATAACTCTTACTTTCCCCTTAAAATGGAGGGCCACTGTGGGGCTATGGACAACTTTAGGTCATATACGACCCAAAAACCTTTTTTAAACATTACTTTCTACTCTATTTTTAAGCCAAACCTTTTAGTAGAAAAATTCAGAATCAGCCAAATTGACTTTCATGAATTTCATCCTCTCTTTTACGTGATTATGTAAGGGACAGAAATGAGAAGGCCTAGATAATACTGGAAACAAATTTTATGTTTAATCAGCAATGACTCTTATTCTTACATATTAACAACTATTCCATCTTTCTCCTACTTTCCTATTCAGGAGAAATCCAACATTATAACAATTTCTATGACAAAGTTATCTTTCTGTGATGTTTCCTTCAGAAGCTTTCAATGCCTTCTCTGGGATCTGGGTCAAATCTAACTATTGAATTTGCCCACCAGCTGTCCTACACATTGCCAACTTACAGAAATTCTGATAAATGAAAATCAAATCTATAGAGAAAATCAAGTACAGAAAAACATTCCTAGATAATTTTAAACCTCAGAGGCATTTAAATTTTCTTTAGCTACAAAATGTTAATTACACAAAATTTTCAGGGAACCCCTTAAGCACAAGAACTGAGAAGCCATGTTCTGCCTGTCTTCTTACTCTGTTCCTCAGTCACGCTTGGGATCTCAACCACACGTCACTACTGGCAGCCCCAGAAGCCTTGCCTACTTATCTTTTCCAGCATTCTTCTGTAAAAACACTCTCAAAATGAATTGCTTCTATATGAATTATTGCATATTTATATAATAAAATGCTATGCAGTCAGTCAACATAAGGTTTGAGAATGTTTATTGTTATGGTAATGTAGTCATAATATATTAGGTAAAGAAAATAGATTACAAATCACCATTTACAAAGAGTCCATTTTTAAAACTCCAGGCAAAACATATGTATGTCTCTGTATGTATAAATATATCACTCATATAAGTTTAAAAACATTGGAAAGACACGTACAAAATTATCAATGATGCTCTTTAGAGGATGAGATTATGAACACATTTTTGTCTTCCATCTTTTTTATTTTCTCAATGAACATATATTTCTTTTGCTCTATTAAAAAGCAGTGCAAAGCCCACTCTTTTCAGAGCTCCCCAGGCCCTGGATATCATTCTACATGTTCCTCATGTTCTGCTGTATGCTGAAGCCTTGGTGGGGTATAGATTCCAGAAGCTGGTTGGAAATGACAATTCTGAGGTCTTAACCCTTCATAAACCCTCAACCCTTCATAAATAGATTCCATCTGGAACTCCCTTTATGTTCAATGACATTCTATAGCAAAAGCTATGACAATGACCTTACTGTAAGATACTTAACAGTAAGTATATATGGCCACATGCACTTTTAGTACGTGCATTACGTTAGTGGTTTACACACTGTCCCCAGGGATTCACTTAGGTGGTTCAAGAAGTTTGAAAAAAGTTAATTCAATTATTTTGTAAAAATATAGAACTTTAATTATTCATAAAAAAAAATAAAAAAGTACCTGCCACACTTTAATATTGATGAGATCAGAAAGCCATTCCTTTATGACACCTAAGTCTCTGCCATCATTATGTAAAAAATCTTTAATTGCGCAATTGTTTAAGAAAACTGTAGCTGTGGATAAATTTTCAATGAATAATCTAGAGCACACAGTGTTTTTGTCTGTGTAATTGAACCAGGCAGTTCAGCATCACAAGGCACAAGGTCCAGACATATCTACTTACCACATTTCCTCATCAACACTGAAGAATGTACAAGGAAGTACCAGATTGCCACATCTCCATATAGTTCTGCATTCATTATTTAGCACTTAAAATAAGCATTATATCTTTTACATTTATAACAATGGGAATCATATTTGGATAGTTTGGTGATACAACTTGGAAACGAAATGTTTCTATTGAACTCCTTTTTCAAATTTAATCAGTCCTAACAGAGTATCCAGACATTACAAAGTGAACTGTTTACAAAGTTTGCTATATCTGAGAAAATCAGAATTTTCTGTGTAACTAAAATAAGACAAGATATCAAAACTGAAGAGATCATATTAGGGTGTCTACAACTGCAGCGGTCAGTCACACTGATGTCCATTCTAAGGCCATAAATAGTAAGAATCTGAGCACTTCGCTACCTCTTGGCACAAGCCACCATCCTGAATGACTCAAGGGCGCCTCCTCTGTCCTTCTGCTTTGTTACCCTTTGAACTCCTGTGGCCTGTCCTCAACATCTAATTCAAGGCATTTTCTGCCCAATATGCTCCAAAGGCCTCCCATTATATTCAAACAAAAGTCAAATTCTGAATAATGGTTTGTAAGGCGCTGCAGAGTCTGACACCTTGTCCTCTGGAAGACTCCATCTCCTGCTACCCCTCACTCACTTAGAACAGCCACACGAGCCTCCCCGGAAAGGTTCCTCAAGAGCCCGGCATGAAGGGGCATCTCCCAGGACCGCTGCTACCAGTGTCCCCATTCCCACAGTGAACCACTGCTGACCCATGCCCCTACAGAAGACCCTCGAACACTAGCAGGCCCAGGAAGCAACTTTTTGTGGATGCAGCTGGACACTGTCATGCTTTCCACCCAGACAAATCTATAATTGAAGATAGATTCAAGTGCCCCTGGGGCCCAGTCCAGTGAAAGTGACCAGATCATTCCTGTCCATCAAAGGCACAAGCTCTCTTTATCTCCACCCCACTGGTGCCAAGTGTGAACGTCCTAGATTTTCGGACCATTTCATTATATAAGGAAAACAGAAAGTACTGATTTTTAATGGAATCTCCCACAATTAAAATTTTGGCAATTTAAAAAAACAAGAGCCCAAAAAAAACAAAAAGAGCTTGGCACCTTCCCACATAAGTTCAAAGAGACTAGACCTTGCTGCTCCTACCGACTCAAGTGCAGTCTGCTCCCTCACCTCTGGAAGATCTTTAACCATGTGTCATCTTCTTAGTGAACTTTTTCCAGGTCATCCTTACAACTACACTCCATGCTGCTGTTTCCTAGGTTTTATTTCCATGTTTCACTAATCACCATCCGAGATAACTCTTGCTCAAATGACTGGCTGATTGATGGTCTGTCTCCCCCACCTAGAATGTAAACTCCATGAAAGCTGAGAATTGTGTTTATTTTTTTCCCTTCTATAATCCCAGAAGCCTAGAAGAGTGTCTGGTACAAAGTACCAGGCACATAGCACATATTCATTAAATAAATAGAGTTACTCTAAATTAAAATCCATCACAAAATTCTTATCAATAAAATACCCTCTTTAATTGTTTCCTATCCTGGGACCACTTTTTAGATTTTTTTATGAAAGGGAGTTTTACTGCCACCAAAAAAAGCTGCATAAAATTATAAGTTCCAGATGCAAAATTATATATTCATTATAATTTGAATCTATTTATAGTACTTAGCATAATACTGCAACAACCACCCTGATGGCAATAATCCAAAGGTCACACATCCTTTTGAATAAGAGTCTCTCTCTACCCATTAGTCTCCACATACGTACAATAATGTTGCTCTATTTAAAGCAACACTATTTTTAAGACTCTTCTTGGGATTACATCATAAACTTGATTAAAAAATAATTAAGGCCACCAAGGGCTTTCTTAAAACCAGTCCAATAGACTTTTCTAACATTGTCACACTCTGTGATCATAAACTTTGCTACATGCATCTGTACATTCAGTCCTTTTTTTCTTTTTCAAAACACTGTTTCTTTTACATGCATGATTTTGTTATATCTTCAAATCACACGCATTCATTAACTTGAATATACCTTTAGGAAACATTTAACAAACAACTGATACCCTTTGGCACTCAGTGTATCCATACGGCTAAGCATGGCTCATGCCCCATGAGGATGACTTTCTCCTAATTATTTAGTGTACAGCTCTTGTCTTCAGTGTTCATCTCCCTCCATTTCATACCATTTGGCATGTATGTGTATGATTTTATAACACTTTCACCTTGATGAATTAAATTTTCATCTAGAACTGATCAGGAGATTTTTAAAATCCAGAAGTGTCAGTTCTGTCTATAGCCACACCACCCTGAATATGTCGAATTTCATCAGAAGTGTCAGTTATGCCAGTTTTAAAATCTCTCCTCAACATAATTATTTCTTCATCCTAATGATATTGCATAGCATGTCAAGATGAAAATCTGCAGTGATAATATGATACCTTCATTTCCAGAGCAAACAAAATTACAAAAGAAATATAACAGCATAGTCACAACTGACTAATTTTTTGGTTGCCATTAACTACAGCAGACTTTTTAGCTAAGGCATATAGATGTGTAGTGGTTTTATATTAATATATGCTATATCAAAAGAAATATAAATTGATATGTGGCAATAGATATGAGTGCACTAGACATGGATTATGAAGCTGGTCTAGATGCATCCAATTTTACCTTGAAATCACCAAAGAAGTGTGAAGACAAAGTAAATTTTATGCACTTTATATAAAAGTCAATAGTAGGTGTTTTATATCAGCCTTTGATCCTAGTGGTTCAAAGTGAATAGAATTTGCACACTTTAAAATTTAAGCACTATACCCACCTACATATTATCTATAACTGTATCAAAGTAGAAATCAAATTTTCAATAAAAATACAAAACATTTCAGCATCACAAAGTTGTGAATAGAAAAACAAGCACCTGGAGTCAATAAAACACAAAAAAATCCATCAACTCTGCTGAACTATGTGAGTTTATACCAAAAGAAAAAAAAAAACACTTGTGCTTGACAGGATTCGAGACAACAAACTGAAAATTACATGTCACATCTCGATCAATTCTTCTTTAATCACATCCTGTGATTAAAAGAGCACAGAAACATACTTCTTGTTTCTGATATATTTATATTGATATCTTAACCATCACTCCTGATCTCTGCAGTTTCTACTTTTGTCTCTGGCAGTAATTCTTCATTGCTAGAAATACCAGCATGCCTTCATATAAAACCAAATTCCACATATAAATCATTAGGCTGTTGCCATTCTGTTAAAAACAAACAGAATCTCAGATTTTATAAGCCCTCTTTTCTTGTTATTCAAGATTCTCACAGGATGGGAGACACTGATCAGAGTTTCTAGCTCTACCCTGAATAGCACCCGTAGCCCAAAATCCCAAAAGTGTTGGCCATCCTGATCCAACATAGGAGTCCTCATAAGCAGCTGGGTACCACGTGAGTCATCCACATCTTATTCTTTGTGTGCTGAAAATGGGCACGTCTTCAATATCAAAGAATCTGAAGGTGTATGGAAAGGAAACAGATTTGGGTTTTTATAGAGCATTCAGCACCATTTTGTATTTTAGATCAAAGTTCTCCAGAAAGTCTGGCAGAAGTAGCTCTGTGCCTGTCATCACTGACTCCTGGCTTGACCCAGGGGCCTACACACTGGTTAGGGACAGGAGTGGTAAGGAGGGAAGGACATGGGTTGGCTACTCTGTTTCAGTCTTGCCTGGGGTTGTTCCAACAGGACCCAGGGTGAGTTTCAAAAGATGGGAGCAGATTTTCAGACTCCCCATTCTCTACCTGACAACTACACAGGCCATTCCTTCAACATGTAATGGCAAGGCCTCACTACATTTTCCCACTTTATGCTGAATTCTTCCCAATCCAGGAATCCAGAACATGAGGAATGCAGATCATTCACAGTTACAAGCCCTGGGCATCAACAACATCACCTCTGCTGAATACATAAATTCAGCACTTTTCAAAACAAAGAATATGATTTCATCTTCTTCATCTGGTTTACTGGTCTACACGAACTATCACATTTTATACCTGTAGGAGAGAACAGCTGTTGTCGCCGCTGCCATATGACTAGGTATTACTAATATCCACTTGCAAACTTTAAGACTCATTCTCATAACAATTTCTAAATGCACAGTGAATCAATAAAGTTCCCCCAAATTCTATTACAGTTAGAAGTTTCCACCTTAACCAACTCGGTCCAAACATGTGAGAACCTGTATTTCCTAATGCCTCTTAGGGGTGAAGATTAGCCATCCATAGCTGCCCTTGATTTTGACATTACTCTGTGCAAAGGACTTCAGTATATCCTCAGTTATTTCCAACCTCCATCTACATTTACCAACAGCAAACTTTCCTCAGTCAAAGGCAAACCACTAAAACGACCCAGAAATCACTCAAGTAAATAGCCAAAGTTTTCCTCTGAAACCTCTTCCACCAATCTCGTTCCTTTTGCCAACGCGTTCTGAGAAATCAAGACAGAGCTCTCCCAAAGCAGCTCTTGGATTTCACCTGACCGACTCTCTCAGGGCATCTCCTGTCCTGGAGCCACCCGATCGCACACCGGAATCTCCCCCAGCGGTCGGCGCGGGCCCGAGAGCCCAGGACTTACGTTGTTCATGTACTCGCTGAGCAGGTCCTGGAGCGCTTGGCGCACCGCGTTGCACTCGGCCACGATCCGCTCGCGCCGGTCGTCTCGGGTGCACGAAGAGTCGGCCATGAGCGCTGCGCCACTAATGATACTCTCCAGGCGCTCCTCCAGGGACGGGCGGAACCGGGCCTCGCTGAACGTCATGGGGTCCAGGATGATCTTGTTCTGAAAGGAGCACAGTGCCAAAGAAATCAGCAGAGAAGAGGCGGCTACCTTTGTACCCTGATCTCGAAAACAGAAATTTCTGAGACCAGGACGAGACACTCCCTGGAGAATAAACCGGCTGCTTAAATAAAGACTAAGGTGGCCTTGACACAGTCTCAACTTTGTGTAAGATACTTTGTCCTGAATCTAATCTTCAGAGAGAAAATGTCACGTTTTGTTTTAGAATGTGTTCTTGGGAAAGGCTGTATCAATGGAAGGGTTTTCCAAGAGACTGTGATACTTGTTTGACTTTTTATTTTTTATTTGTAGGCATCCAGGAATGCACATTTTAGTGTAGCACGGTGGGAGGCTATGAGAAGATTTGAGAGCCCTAGACTAGAACACGCGATGTAGCAGACAACTTGAGGATGCATTAGTGGTGACTTGTGTACCCACTGTGTCCCCCTCATTAGAAGCAAAGAGTCCCATGGGAGGATGCTGTTTGAAACCTGAGTAAATAGCATCCAACAGGCATATACATTACAAGTTACAGTACCTTCCACTAGGAACTAATACTTGGCCACCTGATGCGAAGAACTGACTCATTGAAAAAGACCCTGATGCTGGGAAAGATTGAAGGCAGAAAGAGAAGGGGACCTCGGAGGATGAGATGGTTGGATGGCATCGCTGATTCGATGGACATGAGTTTGAGCAAGCTTCCGGAGTCAGTGATGGACAGGGAAGCCTGGTGTGCTGCAGTCCATGGGGTCGCAAAGAGTTGGACACGACTGAACAACTGACCTGAACTGAGGAACCAATGTTTTGTATAAAAACTAGATTTCTAGAAAAGGATTCATAATGTGTGTGCATGTATCTGTGTGTGATTTGTAATAATTAACTGACACTATCCAGATAAAGGCACTAAGATGTTCCAAAAGAGCTCAGATAAGGAGAAAATAGAGATGTTTCCTAAAAGGATGATTCACAGAGAATTCAGGCTTAGCTCTGACCCTGTCAAGTCTAAGGATCCTGGAAACATGTAGGCAGAGATGTGCAGAGGTGCACAGAAATATGCATCCAGAATTCAACAGATATATCAGCCTGTATAAAGATCTGAGAATCATCAGATCTATGTGAGGGCAAGGTAGTGAATGGTATACTAGCAAAGTGAACAGAATAAGAGCAGACCTAAGAAGGCCCAATTAATCCCAAGTTACAAAGGTTTACAGAAAGACAAAAATCAAAAAGAAGACTGAAACTATAGTCAGATAGAAAGAGCAGAATCTGGAGAACAATAATTCCAGCAAGTCAAGGGAGCAGAAACACTGATGAAGTATGTGGTAACCACCTGCAGGAAACAAGAAAGACAACACCGACATTGTCCAATGGTTAGTTTCTACTGGGAACCCCTTTTCTGCTCCGAACAAGGAAGACATCCCAGCAATATTAATCAAAGTGAAATGACCTGCTGCAGAAAATGGTTTGCTCATCTTCACTGGAGGCGCACACTCAGAGATCCAAGGACCACCATGGTGGTGATGGAGTAAATGGTCTTCCAAATCTAGGATCCTTTGGTAGGACTGCCTTGCCATCCTTTGATGTCATATATACATATATCTTAGAAAACACAATTTATGATATCTACAAATATAATAAACAAAGAAAATGAGAGTAGGTGGTTATATCATTGTCCACCTGCTGAGTACACAGTATGTGCCTACTAGATTGCTTAGTGCTAAAAAGAGGGTGAAGATCATAAAAAAAAAAGAAAAACACCTTGGGTAGAATTTTTTCCTAATAGGATATAAAATAGCTACTTAGTTATTACAAAATAGATTCAGGTGTGCATTCTGGGAAAGCCTGTTCTAACTCTCCAAAGCATCCCTAGGTATTTGGGGCACGGAGGGGGGGCGGGGCACTTCCCTGGTGGCTTAGACAGGTAAAGAATCTGCCTGCGATGCAGGAGACCTGGGTTCGATTCCTGGGTCAGGAAGATCCCCTGGAGTAAGGAATGGCAACCCACTCCAGTATTCTTGCCTGAAGAATTCCATGGATAGAGAAGTGGCAGGCTACAGTCCATGGGGTCCCAAACAGTTGGATATAACCGAGCAACTAAGCATGCATGCATGCACATGCTCAAATGATCCATGGCTCTGATTCTCTGATTCCTATTAAAATGCAAAACTCAGTAATAGGGAGATCATTGAGCACAAGATTATGACATCCTGAGGAATGAATGAAGCAAGTAGTGACTTAGAAGGAAGCACTCACTAAACACAGACCAGGTCTGAGGTCCACTGGAATCGTGGAGTTCCTAGGAAATTACTCATTGCTCAAAGTTCTCTCTTCAGTTCAGAGGACGAACAGGAGATATGCTATTCTGTGATAGGTTTTGGCATAAAGACTACCTTCCCATTTGCATTTTCTTAGATCTTAGAAAAAGGATAATCTTTACTTAACTCAGAAGAGTGTTACTCAAATCCTGTCCCTTGTGCCCAAGTAACCTCCCAAACAGTGTCAAAAAATCACATGGAAGCCTCAGGACAGTGGATGGCTTTGCAGCTAGAGGTGTCCTGCCCGACTTGCCCTCTGTTCCAGAGCTGTGTCTGCAAGGACTTTTCCCAAGGGGATCCATATGTGTTCTCTTTCTCTTTCTACTGCTTTTCAGATGATGCATTTATAATTTTCTTTTTACCATGTAACATGCATTAAGTGCTGATACTCTAATTAAAGAAATACCTAATCAAAATATAATTAGGCCATTATCCTTTATAAAGATTACTGATTTTTGAAGTACTCTTTTATAGAAACTCCTCTTAATGTAATACAGTGAAAAGTATTTGTTCTGCCTTGAGGTTTCAGAATTATATATCAGCTTGAAGATAGATTTTTATTAAGCTTTTGGACTAAAAATATAAAGAAATGCCAACTTGATAGAAATATACTGAGGTAAATTTGAACTCAATAAAGGCAACTGTAAAAGTTTCTCTGCAGAACAAAGAAAATGTACTATTGTCATTATACTATTACTTCTTAAAGTATTTTCCATGGAATCTGAGCCTAGAGATGTAATGTTTGGATGAAAAAGTTTTCCTGGCCAGATATTTTTTGGAAACACTGTATGGCCCAGGATACATTAACACATGAAATGCTTTGGGGAATTCAGGATTAAAGAAGTCAGTTTACTGCAGCATTCCTCAAACCTATTTGAGCCTAGAAGGGGTGCCCTTTTAAAATACATGCATTATCTATGAGAACCTAAGGAACACACTTTGGGGATCGTGGCAAGAGAAAATTTACAGCGGCAGCAGAATGAGCTCCAAACCTCCATGGCCCGGGGCTGTCATCAAAGTAAATGCACTGAAACATTGAGCTTGAAAACCTCTGCATAAAAGTTACACTATTCATCATATTTCTAATGGAATTATTCATTACTTATAGATCACAGGGGAGAGGCTTTGAAAAAAATCTCCCTGGAAAAGAAACAATAAATTTACAGTATTTCTATCTATATCCATGGCGGAGGTGGGAAGCACCATGATGGATATGAAAAGCTAGAGGGGAGAAGCCTCTGAAGGGAAAGAAAAGGCCTAAAGGGCAGTACACATGTGCGTGTGCATCTGTGTACGTGCGTGTGCATCTGTGTGTGTGTGTGGGGGGGAGGGGTTGGCTGTGTGTGTTTATCTATGAGGGGTGGGTTTGGGTTGTGTGTAATGGGTATGGGGATAAACTGGGGGCAGCAGGTATGGATTGTGTGTGTGTGTGTGTGTGTGTGTGTGTGAGTGTGTGTGTGTGTGTGTGTTTATTTTCAGAGAACTGGAGAGCTCTCAAACAGGCTTTAGGAAATTAGAAAAGAATATGAAAAAAAGAACCAGATGAAGTCAGGGGCTTAAGGACTAGAGGATAACACCATCTACTGTTGCTAAAGTGATAGGAAAAAACAAACTCCTAGAGCTGGATTCTGAGCAAGAAATTCAGAGAATGAAAGTCTAAGATGAATGAAGGAGGAGTGCTGCTTCTGAATTATTTGGGAATGACTTTAAAAAGAAACACCTAGGCAAGTTCTCTTTGCTAGCACACTGGGGGGTCATTTCACATCAGTATATACATCTTATTTTCTAGCATCAGCTCAGCGGGTCTTTGCCTCTCTGTGCGGCTGCTCTCTACTGGCCAGAAGGCACTCAGCAGCAGCACCCAGGATCAAACCAGTTAGTTCCCTGGCCACTGAGGGAACGTTTCATGGGTAACAAGCAAGCACCAACCAGAGAAAGAGCAAGGCCAAGGCTTCCCGTCTCTCCCTTTATGACAAACATGTGCTTCCACAAGAGGATTTTATGCTGTTTCCAAGTGTACAGGCTTATTTTTTTTAGTCCACTGAGATTTTACATTTTAAATATCTAAGTCCCTTGTTTGCATTCCTAAAGCTCATTTAATCTTTTTATCCTTTTGATATTTTAGTTCATCTTATATTGTCATTTTAGTTCATTTTAAAATTGTGGGACTGCATTTTTTTTACTTTATCTTTTTCTTCTTTTTTTTAAATAAGGCTTAACTTTAATTTCTTTTTGTCTTGTCTATTTTCAGATTCTTTATAATAACTGAACTGCATATTTTGCATAATATTTTGTGCTTTGTGATTTTTACTTATTTGTATTAACATCTTTACTTTAAAATCACTGTTTTCATTCTGACAGTTTATAGAGTGGTAACTAGAAAATATGACCACAAAGACAGAAGCCACAATAATTCACTCCCGAGAAAAGGGGGCTAGGATCCTCTTCTACCATTAAGTTGGTGCTGTAATAGTCTCTCTCATCCTATGTAACTGATGTCCAATTTTTTTTTTCCCAATGTTGAACTATATAAAAGTTTTAACTTATAATAATTCAGGAGACCATATATTTTGAAACTACTTCCAAGAATAAAACATTCATCTGTACTCAACCCACATACAACTGTTACAAGAGCGCTGTTTTTAAATCACCCCTATCATCCATTCTCTTTACAAGGAGTCACATGAT